AAGGTCAGGCAAGAAAGGTTCTATGACCTTGACCAGAATACCACCTTAAAAGGTCAGCGCATTAGGACCTTTCATTGTCTTACAGTTTACTTTGTGTTTCACTTGCATCGAGAGGGCGTATTGGCTGGGGAACATGTAGTTCAGTGGGTGGGGTGCTTGCCTTGCCTAACGTGCGCGAAGCTCTGGAGTCTGATCCCCCAGCACTGTATAAGCCAGGTGTCGTGGCACCATCCTGCCACCCCAGTACCCCAGAGGTGGAAGCAGGAAGATCAGGAGTTCTGGGTCATTCTCAGATGCATAGTGAGTTGGAGGCCAGCTTGACATAGGTGAGACCCTGTCTTAAAGAAAATCAAATCAAAACAAAATAAAACAGAAAAAGAGAGAGAGAGAGAGAGAGAGAGAGAGAGAGAGAGAGAGAGAGAGAGAGAGAGAGAGAGAACGTATAATGGCTTACCTACACAGTCTAGGTTTATATGAACATACTCTGATGCTCACAAAATATCACCTAACAATATGTTTCTGATCAATGCATCCCCATTGTTTCCCTGTGTGTGTTCATGGCACGTGTTTACACACCAAGGATGATTCAAAACATTCAGTTACAACTCAAGCAGCTTGGAGAAGAAAGACACTGGGAGAGGCAGGTTTAGGACAGAGAGGGCAGGCCAGGAATTTGGTTTTTTTTAATATCCAATGTATTGTGCTGCCCTACTGCACTGTTTTATTTTATTGTGGTGCTTTGGGTCAAGCCCAGGCCTCACACAGGCTAGGCAGGGATTCTACTGCGGAACTTTAGCCCTAGTACACAGGGGTCAGATACCTCTCCATAAAGGTAAATAGTCCGGGTTTCGCAGGCACCAGGTCTCTGCCATTGATCATCAGCCTGACCACGTTGCCCGGCAGCTGTCACAGAAACATGCATCCCAGTAAAGCTGTGCTTGGCCAGTTTGCTGAGCTCCATGTTCAACCCTCTTTCTGGAGAAATGGAGCAGCTTGTTACAGAGAAGTTTCATGGCAGAGGGATGAGGACTCCACTTATCTGTGGGTATAAGGACACATATATAGACTGTAGCTATCTTCTGGGTTTTGATTCAGGGTGTCACCATGTAGCACAGGCTGGCCTGGAATGCCTAATCCTCTTGCCTCAGCCTCTTGAGTATTTGGGATTTTAGGCATGTGCCATTAAACCCAACTTATATGTGTTTCTTCACCGATGCAGTCAATGCAAAGATCTAGTGTTGGGCCTGATAACTATTGCAATTTTCAAGCTGTAAAGAGTTCAAACATGGGCTCTATGACTATAAAGGCATTTTCTGCCCAGCCCGATGACCAGAGTTCAATCCCTGGACCCATGTGGTAGAAGGAAAGACTAGATAGTCATCCTCTGACCTTTACATGCCTCCTGTGGCACACACATGCCTGCCCCACTCCCTGACACACACACACATCATATGTACACACAATAAATAAATACATTTTATAAAAAAGAAAATTATAAGAAAGAATACAAATGGAATTTTAAGTGTCAACAGCAGCTGTAAGGCAGTATAAAGCCACAAGCTTTCCCTTGGCCAGAACACGTGTTCTGGATTGTTGCCAGCCTTTGTAATGTAAGTTCACAGACTACGTGGACATCTCTCCATAGATCCCTGAGATTAAGCACTATTGGCCCCCAAAACAATTCCCCTGCCTGCAATTCTCAGGACTCAGTTTAATGACAGTCCCTCAAGGAAGCCTTCCCTGACCCTCATCGCTCTGGATTAGCGTCCCTGCTCTGTACCCTCGGGGTTTCCCCTTGTCACTCCATAAGTCACAGGTAGTTCTGTTTGTCCGTCTTGAGAAAAGGTGTCATCTACCTCACTGAAACAGGTACAACCTTGGTCTGAGTCCAGGTGACATCTCAAAGCTGGACTGCAAGCGCCTGTGAAGGACAGGGCAATGATCAAAAGGTCACAGGACCCTGGAATCTAGTCTGGGGGTGACCTTGCACGCTCATCTGATGAAGGCCTTAAGCTGACCTCTGAGGATGGAGCAGCCTTGCATGAACAGCTGGGCCTTCCTGGGGAGTAGATCAGCTTATCCCTTTACTGTGGATAGCTCACTCTGCCCTCCAATCCAGCACTACAGCCTCCTCACTTGTGAAAGGGAGAGAGATGCCACTGAGCAGCCTTGCGGAATTCCCGCAGAGATCAAACAAGGATCGGTGTGGTGTGCTCGGCACCCCAGTGTAACTAACACTTTACTTGAGTGTTGGAGCCGTACTTGTGAGCAGCCATTGCTGTCCGTTTACTCACTCAGCAAGCACTTAAATAGTTATTAAGCACCCATTGTGCTAGGTACTTCGCATGCAACCAAGACATTTAATAATAACAGAAGTAGACTTGCAGGTTCTATGATTTCCCATACCAAGTCAACACTTCCCTTGCCAGGGTCCTTTGTATTCTCACAGACTTCAAATCTTAAGAGATGAAGGTCCCAGGGGCCAAGTGTGGTGGTGCACACCTGTAATCTCAGCCCTAGGGAGGCAGAGGCGGGAGATTGGAGAGTTCAAGGACAACCTTGGCTACATAATGACTTTGAGGCAAGTCTGGGGTACACAGTGGGACCTTATCTACAAAACACCGGAGAGAAGAGAGGAGCATAGGTAATTATGACAGTAGCGGTGATGGGGGCAATGGAGGTGGGGTGGAGAGGAGGGCAAAGGAGAAAGGAGAGGGGGAGGGACCAGGTGAGAGGAGGGGACAGAGAATCAAGAGAATCAAGAATTAAGTTTGCTCCAAGAAGTTCATCTCCCTTCCCCCTAGGATCAAGCATTATGGGACCAGCAGCCACAGCGGCTAGGGGAAGGACTCAAGTTTAGGCTTCCTCCTGTATCCCAGCTCCTGGAACCCATATACCCTCCAGACAAGTTTCTTTACCTCTATATGCCTCCTTGTTTGCATATCTAAACAGTGGGATAGTAAAGGAGTCTACTTCAAGCTTATCTGAAAATTAAAATGTTGACTGTGTGCCGAAGGTAGAAGACAGACGTGAAGCTGGGCTTAGGTTTAGCAGGGCTCGGTAATTCGTGCTTGTAACCTCAGGCTTGGATGTGGAGACAGCAGCGTCTGAGGTCAGCCTGGGCTACATGGTGAGAACTGATTTCAAAATTAATAATAATAATGTAAGCTAGATGTTACTATTTATAGAAACATCGATCAAACTCTTCTAGCCCCTCCCATCTCTCCAAGAAGTAGGCTTCCTCTGTGAAGCCTCCTCCCCCACAAGGGAAACACTGAATTAACACAGGTAAATACCGTCATGTGGTTAAGCCTGCCAAGTGTGAGGAAGGCAGTCAGTGCCTTGGGGAGTGCCCTGACCTCTCTGTACCTCAGTTTCCCCATCTTTAAATAGAGGCCAAACCCAGCACAGGGGCCAGAATCTGCCAGCACAGGGACCAGCAACAAGTGGACACCTTGCCGAGGACCTACCCTGCTCTAGGCTCTGTAGTTGAGATAATGACAGAGCCAAGGCACACGAGTGGTGCTCTGGAAACATGGACCTCCCTGACCCATTATCCAGACTCAGTGTGTTCTTTCCCAAGAGAAACAGAAACACTCCCTACAAAGGACTCCAGAGACAAAGTGTGACTCCACCATAACCCAGCTTGGAGGACCACAGTTTACTTGGTTTACTTACAGAGCATGGATGAGGGGTTACTTGCAGGAGTATGGGTGGTCCCCCAAAGAATCTGCATCACTTGAAAAAAAATCTCACTTTTCCTTAGCTGCATATATGAAGGTCGTCCACCAACCCAACTGGCTTCAATTAACCTTCCACCGTCTATATAGTCTAGCATCTCAGGAGACCGTGAGGCTGTGTGCCATTAGGGCAGAATTACGTACAAACGGCTTGGAGGTGCAGGAGGGAGCAGCCAGAATCTAAGGCGAGGGTCCAGCTACCCTCTCCAACCCCTCCTTATATGAGGGAAGGCCACCAGTCAACAAGCCCTACCTCCGTGTTCTCTTACAAAGTAGCACAGCTGCTCTGATGAAGGTGACGGCTGTTAGGCTCAGAGGATCCAGTTATTCAACATGTCGCATGCTGTGCTACAAATGTCGTACTCCCAGATGCTAAATTTTTCCTTGTGTGCGTTACATACTTAATTACTTCCATATTCCTTTACTCATTTATCTCCCCTGGAGGCTAGGCTGGGCAGAAATTTGACCCCATTTTTATTGGTGAAAAAGACCGGGACGCCAAGAGGTTGAAATGACAAGCCTGATGAGTTGGTGAGCAGCGACACCAGCTGCCAGGCATGGAAAATAGAAACTCAAGGAGGGCCACGTTCCACCTCAAGTCCCTAGCTGGAGGGTTGCACCGACCTTAGTGGCCTAGCGAGGGAGACCCTGGGCTGGGAGATGCACTGGCGATCTTCCAGTGCGGGTTGTGGGGGGGGGGGGGACGGACGGGGTGACGGGGTGACGGGGAGGTGGGTCCAGGCAGCAGGTGAAGTCCACCGCCAGCGACAGGTCCTGAACACTGGAGTCCCAGCTGCCCTCGGGCAGAGTCACGCCGGCGCTGGGTGGCGCTATGCGGCCGCCCTGCACCAGACCTGTTGCGTCCTGGGCTCGGTAAAGAGGCCCACCCAGAGCCGAGTCAGGGTGAACGTCCCCCTGCCCCAGCACTGTCCCGGGAACTGCCAGGTCCGCCCTAAATAGGTGGCGCCTGCCCTTCAACCTCTACTCAGTCCCCAGCCCGGTCCTAGGCGCGTCGGGTGCGGCTAGCATAAAACTTTCGCCAAACCGCTCGGACAGAGGGCGGGTTGAGGGGACCTTCCAATTCCAGACCCCACAACGGTCTGCGCGGTGTCACCTCAGCCTCTCAGTCGCCCCAGAAACCCTGCTGTCGATCAGGCAGTGGATCGGTACCACTCTAGTTCCTGCCGGCGGCGCTGACCCGGGCACCGCCCCCGCCTACCCCTTCGAGGTCCCCTATCCCCTCCCCCGCCTCCCGCGCTCCGGCCCCAGCGTCGCCGGCCCCGCCCGCGCCGGGGTCGCCGCAGTCCCCACGGTTCGCCCGGGACTTCCTGGCCAGGCGTCCCAGCTTTATTGCAACCCGGGAGCTCCCCAAGGTGTGGCTGTGGGTGCTGGTCCACCAGAGGTTGAAGCCGGGGACCTCAGGGCATCCTGGTTCTGAGCTCCAGGGAGGCGGCCCCGCAGGGTTGGGCAAGGACGGGGCGGCCGGCAGAGGGGCGGGCGCCGCTCATCAGTCACGCCAGTCACGTCTGGGGCCACCCGGCCGCCCACTGGTGTCTTGCCGGCTGGTCGTGCCACCTCGCCGTGCCGGCGAGGGCAAAGGGGCTGTGGCGACGCCATGCCCGGGCCGGAGTGAGTGAGCGCGGGCGAAGATGGCGTACATCCAGGTAGGACTGTGGCTGGGGGGACGGCCAGGGGATACCGGGGACCGCGCCCCCTCGGCCGGGAGCGCGCGACGCGGGAGTGCGCACCACCCAGCTCCCACAAACTTACTAGAGGGAAAAATTAAAAAAACCCAAAAACAACAAAACAACGGTTGCCCCAGAGCAGGCACCTGTGCATGTCCTGGAACCAGGGCAGGGGACCTCAGATCCGGTATGGAGGGCCCTGCTTGGGACCTGCATTCTCGCGCTCGCCTCCCTGGGAAGGGAGACCGTAGGGTGACTTTGCACACACCCCCACCCTCGTCCCCCTGGGCACCCACCCCAGGGGAGGGGCTGCAGGAGGGCGGCCCGGGGCGCGCCAGCCACCCGACCCGCCAGCGCCCGTTGCCGTGGTGACGGCTCGGGCTAATTGGCCGATGGAGCCAGCTGGAGGCAGCTGTTCAGACCTAGAGGGACAAGGACATCGTTCGCCCGGGCACTGGGTGCAGAGGGGTGGGGACATCCAGAGGCCAGAGCACACTAGTGAGGGCTGTGGGGATGGTTACTTTAGTCCGTTGAGGTCTGAGAAGTGCAGGATCCCCCCCCCCCCATCCCTCTCACAGAGCGCCCCCAAGACTCCCAGACGCAGAGAATTTCCAAGTATCTCCCCCCCCACACCCCACCCAGCCTTTGGAGGGGACAGGTGGGAATGGACTGTGTTGCTTGGTGAAGAAACCGATTTCTTTTACAAATTGCGAAGTGGTGACAGGTCATCCCCAAGGTCACGCGGCCAGACTCGCGAACAGATCGGAAGAGCTGCGGGGTTCTAGGACTGCATGCTCTTGGCAGGAGAGGAAGGGAGCAGAGTGACTTCCAGGTCCAGGGGCTCACTTTTGTCTCCCAGCCTCAGCTTGGTGTGTTTGGAGGGGGGCAGGGGACTGCAGACCCCCTAGGGCTCCCCTGCTACCTTGTACCCTGCTCCTCAGATGGCCTGCCACCAGGTGGAACCTGACCCTCTCCTCTGGCTTTGATCCCCAGGAATGGCTTGCTTTTTCATGGATTGCCTAGGTCCTGATTTCAAGTTCAATGAAGGTCACATTTACTGTACATCTACTGTGTCTTGGAAGTTGTTGGGATGCTGTTGAATAGTTGCTCAACACCAAGATGACACCAATTATGGAACAGCACTGAGGACATAGGTCACAGTCTCTGCCCCTCTGATGTCCAAGGAAGTGAGCAGAGAACAGTGAAACCAGTTTTGTGGTTCTTCATCGAATTAATATGTTTTCTTTTTCTGAGACAGGCTAGCTCCTGCCTCGTCTTCTGAGTGCTGGGATTACAGTGGTGGGTCACTGCTCAGCTACCTAAACCGTATTTCAGCACAGAGAAGTTAAGTCACTTGCCAAGGTCACACACACAGCTACTTAGCAGTCATAGTGGGATGTGAACTGTAGGCTGGGAGGGGGATGTGTAAGTCCTGCTTCTCAGGGGGTCCTGGCTCCCCTCTTAGAAACGGTCTCTGACCGTCTACAGAACAGGAATAGTAGTATTCTTTTTCTTCTGCCACAACTTTTCATTGGGGAAAACAGTGCTAAAGCCAGCACAGGGAGGTCAGAGAGTGGGCGTGGCTATGCACCCACAAAGCTTTATTTGTTTCCGTCAATGAGTTTCAGAGACTTTCTGAAAGTCAGGAAATAGTTGTCAGTGATGTTTTGCAGTCATTTAAAAATTCTCGAATCCACAAGTCGCCCCCACCTTTCATCCCTGCAGCACTCTGGAGGCAGAAGCAGGCGGATCTCTGTGAGGTGGAGGCCAGCCTGGTCCACACAGCAAGTTCCAGGACAGCCAGGGATACACAGAGAAACTGTCTTGAAAAACCAACCAACCAACCAAAAACAAAACGGGAATCCTTCTTTGCTGGAGGGCTGGGTAGTGGCCTACCATGGGGCTGTGAGCTGGCCTCTGCTGGCCTCTGTGGGGTGCCTGGGACTTTCTCTTTATGCTTCCTGGCTTGAATCAGTTCTCCACTGGTATCAGAAGAGGGAGACCAGAGGATGGGGTGAGGCAGATGAGACCCTGGCCTTGGGTCTTCCTTCCCGTTCCCTTTGTCCCTGCCTTGGGCTGCTCCTGGGCCACCATCATGTACCTGGGCTTTGAGAAAACTGTACATCATCGGGCAGTTTCCCTGCTCGTCCTGGCTGTGTAAATGGCTAAATGGATCTCTTGACCACCTGTGCCTTGAGAACACACCCGCAAGTTGCTAGAATGCCACAGGTGCTTGGAAAGCATTCCTTCACATTAAACTTTTCACTTTGTGGTGCCTGGGGGACCCTGGAGGACTGGGGAGGACTGCACATCTCAGGGTGTGTGTGACAGTGGAGAACAGCTCTTCTTCCACCATGCGGGGCCTGGGGATTGAACCCAGGTCACTGAGTTTGGCGGCAAGCACCATCACTCACTGACCCATCTCACCAGCCCTCAGCTATTTGGCCTTTTTTCTTTCTAGACAAGGTCTTGCTGTGTAGTCCAGGCTGGCCTCCAATTCACAGCCTTCCTTCCTCCGCCTCCTGGGGCCAGGATGATGGGCACACACCAGTATGCTCAGCTTAGAGCAAACAGCTTCAAGGGAGCCCCACGAGAGCTCAGTCTTTAGGGCTTGAACTTGCCAGGGTGGCTCTTGGTGGCTCTTGGTGACCAGGAGGAATCATCTTGTCTCAGAAGCCACAGAGAAGGTGTGTTTATTTTGAGGTTGAGAGTCACACAGCATTTCTATATTAAGAAATCATCAAAAGAAGCAATCCAGGCTCAGAGCCCACCTCCCTCCCAACTTATAGGTCTTATGATCTGTGACCTTTAGCATTCTGTGTCTGGCTGAGTTGGGAGGGACCTGTGACCTTTAAGTGCTTTCCCATGAGACAACCCGTGGCACTTCTCGGAGCTTGAGTTTTAGTTAATAGTATCACCACCTACGCTATTATTAATTGGTTTTTTTTCCCCTCTAGAATTGGACTCTAAGGGCTTGAGTTCAAATCCTCAGCACCCATGTGAAAGCTGAGTGTGGTGGTGTGTTACCCTAGTGCTGGTGAGGCAGAGACAGGAGAATCCCTGTGGCTCCCTGGCTGAGCAGCCTAGAGTTGATGAGCTCCAGGTTCATGGTCAAGATCCTGTGTCACTCAAGATCCTGACATTGACCTCTGTCCTCTACATACATGTGCACACATGTACGTGCATGTGTCCAAGCACTCACAGGAAAGAATATGTACACATGCCACACACATACACAGTGGAAAATCAAACTCTCTTTTTTTTTATTTTAACTTACAAAAAAAAAAAAAATCAAGTTGGACATGATAGTACATACCTATAATCCCAGAATCTGGGAGGATGAGGCAGGAGGATGTAGCATTCTAGGTTGGCCTGGGCCACAGAGTTATACCCTGTTTCAGGACAGTCAGCAAGCCACCAGGCACACAAAAGGTCTGTGAAGGAAACTGTGTCAGCCATGGGCAAAGAGAGTCAAGATCACATGATGGAAGCAGAAGGCGGCTGGAAAAATAAACACACGGGAATGCTACAATATTAAATGTGAGCTGGACTGGGCTCTCCCCAGCCTTAGAGGACTCCTCTTGCTATGTTTACAAGGAAGAGCAAGGGTCGAAAGATGTTAACATCTGGGAGCAGTCCCAGACTGTCTCCTCCCTGTTGGCTCCCTGTGCACTCCAAAGCCCTGGGTTTGGGCTGCACCTCCGTTCCAGCCTAGGAACTGTCCTAATCTGGTCAGCAGGATTTGATACCTGCCTGGTGGGTTAAGTCGATCATGTGTTTGGTTTAGTCTTGAATCAAAAAATCCTGGGGCTGTAAAGATGGCTCAGCTGGCAAAGTTGCTTGCCACAAAATTTGATGACCTGACTTTGATCCTTGGAACCAGGTGGAGGAAGGAGAGGATGGACTCCCGAGAGTTGTCCCCTGACCGCCACGTAGTGCCGTGGATGGTTGTGATCACACGCAGAGAGAGACGTGAATGCACACACGCACTAAAGAAATGTAATAATAAAAAAAAAAAAAATAAGGAAATCCTGGATCCACAGAGGAGCCCTTCTCTGGAAGAAGAGGAGGGAGTCTGGGGCTTGGGGACCTATGAGAAGAAGATGGGGTAGGGGTGGAACCACACCAGGGAGGGAGGACCAGCCCCTGGCTTCCTTCCAGCCCCTCCCCCATTTGTGGGTGGTCGAAGGATGCTCTCCACCAGCAGGATTGGAGCAGAATTGGAAGGTAGGGCCCTGGCAGGGGCGGGGGAGTCAGCCTGTCAGTTTAGCTAATCAGGCCCTCTTGGGTTGGCTTCTGGCTATTTCAGTCTGGGAAGGTTTGCGAGTCCCCTCAAGTGTGGCTGCGTTGTTGAGTAGCTTGATGATCTGTCTACCCGCTCTGATTCATAACAGCACACGGTGCACATCCAATGGAAAAGCTCACATTTCCCGTTTATTCGCTGTTAGTTAACCGAGAGGCTGCCAGCAGCCCTGCAAACATAGCCATACCTTGGTAGTAAAGTCAGCTCCCTCCCCAGAATGGTGAGTGCAAAGATGCAGGGTGCTGTTCTCTGTTGTTTTTGTCTTGCTGTTCTTTGAGTTGCTGGAAGATTGCTAAACTGGTTCTCTCTCTCTCTCTCTCTCTCTCTCTCTCTCTCTCTCTCTCTCTCCCTCTCTCTCCCTCTCTCTTCCTCTCTCTCCCTCTCTCCCCTGCCCCTCACCCTGGCTTCACCGTGGCTCTCTAAAAGGGCAGTTGGAACCACTGAACGAGGTGGGTTAATTCAATTATCTCTTTGGTCTGGATTCTAATCAAATGCTTGCCTTTCCGTTTGGAGCCTGGTGTGGGGCTGGGGCATGACTGAGTACTGAGTCACAGGGTATAAGCAAGGGTACAGTTTCTGTTCCTTCCTACCGAAGGGAGCCCCTGACAAAAGGGACATCCCTGGACAGCATGTGTGTCCCAACTCCGTGGGATTCCCCTAGTTTAGTTGCATGTCCCTGGGGCTATTTTTCCTGAAGTATCTTGGTTTTGTTGTTGTTGTTTGTTTTTTTGTTTTTGTTTTTCCTTTTGCCAGGAGAGAACCCTATGCATTGTGTGTTTAAGAACATATTGCCTGGCTCTCTCCATGTTGTAATAACCGCCCACCTGTCAAGAAAGGCACACACATAAACTACAAAGGCAAACACCTGCGAGTGTTTTGCTTGCTCCGAATGGCTGGCTGCAGCCACGTCTGTTTGCCACCTTGTGCCCACGGTGCATAAATAGGAGAGGGAAAAAAAATTTTTTTTTCTTCTACCAGCAACTCTGTTCTGGGGTGCCTATTTGTCATGGGTGGAGCCCATCCCTGACGGACTGCTTATAATTTGGGGGTGTTCTCTCTCTTCTCCCTCTTCCTCACCCTCCTCCTCCCTCCTCCTCCCCCCAATGGCCTCAGGGATTTCTTTCCAGAATCTCTGATGTACTGCTGTGTGGATGGACGTGTCGACACTGCTGTCAGAGGTGCTATGAGTCCAGCTGCTGCCAGTCCAGCGAAGACGAAGTGGAGATCTTGGGACCTTTCCCTGCCCAGACTCCTCCATGGCTGTGAGTAACCCACTGGGACATTCACCTCCCAGCATCCCCTCCACTGGAGGACTGGCAGAGGGTGGGGTGAGATAGGCTGAGTTACCATGGACATAGCCGGGAAGGGCTTCTCTGTGCCCCCTCATTTGCGGGCCAGCTGGTAGCACCAGCTGGCAGTGAGGCTCCTGCTCAGCCATTCTCACACCGAGCTTCTGAGATGCAAGCCGGGGGATGCTAATCTTGGGGACACTTTAAGTAGCCCAAGTATCCAAGCAGAAAAAGATCTGGGTTCTTTTTGAAGAACGTCTTGAAGGCAGTGGCCTTCGAAGGAGGAGCAGTGTCTGTTCCCTTCCCAGACAGCATGACAGACTGTCCGAAATGCTCAGTCCCAGGCCTGCACTGAGTAGGTGCTTAGTGAATCTTAGCTGCCAGCACCTTTCTGATGGCGCCTTTTGGCTGACCTGAGCAAGGCCTGCATCCCCAGAGCCACAGGGAGGCGTGCCCGGCCCATCCTGCCTCCAGGGCTTGTGGTGTTCACTCTGGCATCTTCTGTTTTATTTCTAATCCACTCCCCTCCTGCGCCCGCATACACCATCTTCATCTGCCAGTCGCTCAGATATTTTGGGAAGGCAGTGTTGAAGCTTGGCCACATGTCTGATCCACCTCTCTGTGGCAGGGAGAGCGATCTGGTCGGAGACTGGGGAGGAGCCACGAGACCTGGGTTGGGAAAGACCTAGAAATCATCAACAACAGCTGCTGAGGACTCTGGGAGGGAGGCCCAGAGAGGAGATGGTGCTGGGTAGAGTCAGAACCCAGGGGTAGCTGGGTACAGTGGGAACCTAGGGGTAGGACCTAGAACTGTCTCAGCTGAATCGGGCTGAAATCCCAGAAGGCCCCGGAGCCCCATCTTTCCTCTGGGTTAGAGGTCATGCCATGCATGCTCTTATTTTTTCTTCTTAGAAGCAAGTTTCAGGTGTTTCCAGAACACAGTGGTTTCATGTCAGCCTATGTGAGTTCAAATTCAGTTTCTGCTACAGCTTTCTAACTCTTTAACCCTGGGAAAGTTGCTTGACTTCTATGAGCCTTGGTTTTCCATTGTAAAATGGGATGATAACAGTCAGGCAGTGTTGGCACATGCCTTTAATCTCAGCACTCAGGAGGTAGAGGCAGGCAGATCTCTGTGAGCTGAGGGCAGCCTGGTCTATAGAATGAATTCCAGGACAGCCAGGGCTACACAGAGAAACCCTATCTTGGGGGGGGGGAAGTGTGTATGTGTGAAATTATGATAATAAATAGATAGATAGATAAATAAATAAATAAATAAATAAATAAATAAATAAATAAATAAATAGGGGTTGGGGATTTAGCTCAGTGGTAGAGCGCTTGCCTAGCAAGCACAAGGCCCTGGGTTCAGTCCTCAACTGGGGGGGGGGGAGGAATAAATAAATAAATAAATAAATAGTATGTACCAAATAGGTTTGTTGAGTTTGTGTTTAGAAAAGTACTTAAGAGCACTTAAGACTTTGCTGATGATCAAAAGTGGGACACTTATTTGTTTATTGAGGCAGGGTCTCACTATGTAGCCTTGGTTGGCTTGGAACTCTTTATAGACCAGGCTAACCTTTAACTCACAAAGATCTGCCTGCCTCTGCCTCCTGGGTTCTAGGATTAAAGGCATAGAGCACCATTCCTTGCTTAGTTTTATTTTCATTTTTTAAGACAGGGTCTCTATAGCCAGGCTGGCCTTGAACTTGCCATGTTGCCAAAGATGACCTTGAATTTCTGATCTTCCTGCATCCACCTCCTGAGTGCTGAGATTACAGGCATGGGCCACCATACCCAGGCCTATCCATGCTAGTCAAGCATTCTACCCACTGAGCTATGTCTCCAGCCCCGTGAGTGCAATTTTCTTCGGTTTGTTTTTGTGTGTATGTTTTTGAGACGGGTTTCTCTGGCTGTCCTGGAACTTGCTCTGTAGACCAGGCTGGCCTTGAACTCACAGAGATTCATCTGCCTCTGCCTCCTGAGTGCTGGGATTAAAGGCGTGCACCACCACCACCACCACCACCACCACCACCACCACCACCACCACCGCCTGGCAAATGAGTGCAATTTTTAAAGACCCTGGTTTGACTTTGATTTCCTTATCTAGAGAATGAGAATAATAAAATAATTTATCTCACAGGGCTATAAGTAAGAGTACGTGAAGAAGGCTAGCCACAGTAATGCATGCTTTTAATCCCAGAGCTGGGGAGGTGGAGGCAGGAGGGCTGTGAGTTCAAGATCACCCTGAGCTATGTAGTGAGACCCTGTCTCAAAAACAAATGGGAATGAGCTGCCTTCAGAATGCATTTAGCCCAGGGGCAAGAGATCCATAAGCATTCTTTCTGTCATTATTGGGTGTCAACAGACACCTTTCACTCATCTCGAGGACATGATTTCAAGTAGATGGTCACCAAGCTGAGATGTAAGAGACAAGCCCATTTCATAGGGTCCTGGTCGCAGAGTGGCTGAGACCATTTGGATCCTAAAAGCCACATGTCTTTGTCACGCAAAAGAAAAGCTGATGACCAGGTAGAATGTCACACCTGTATTCCCAGTCCTAAAATTGGAGGCAGAAGGAGCGTGAGTCCCAGGCCAGCTTCCGGAACTCAAGGGCTAGGAATGGAGCTCAGCGTTTGCAGCACGTGTGAGGCTCAAGGTTTGATTCTCAAACTGGAGACAAAACGCACATGCATGTGCACATATGTGTGAGTATATACGTGTATATAGTTTCAAAAGTCTGTTGGCCACCTGACTAGCCCTCAGGAAGACCCTGGACCCTGAAAATGCTCTTGTTCACTCATCATCACAGAGAAGTGAGGCTCAGTTTCCTTGATCTATGATGTATGGTATGTTTGCACATGTGTACATTTTGTAAGTACATGTGAAGGCCACGAGTCAACCCCAAGTCTTCACCTTGTACCTCAAGACAAGGTCTCTTGCTGTTCTCCACTGCATACACTGGGCTAGCTGGCCTGTGACCTTCTGGGGACTTCTCTGTCTCTGCCTCTTATCCTCCAGTAGTGCTGGCTTTCATGAGGATCTGAACTCAGGTCCTCAGCAACATGTGACAAGGGTTGCCCGCTGAACCCCCTTCCCAGCCCGGTAATTTCTTTGGGCACATGCTGTATGTGGGACACTGTCCTCTTCATGAGGTTAGACAGGCTTTTGTGAATAGGTTCAGGGACTTTTCAGTTTTATCTAGGACATAGGCAGGTGTGGGAGCAGGTTGACCCTCTAGAATCATACTTCCATACCTTGCATACTATATGTGACAACCTAGCCTAGGGTCTCATGGAAAATCCAGGGATGATGGCTTCAGGTGTGGCTAGATCCAGGGGCTCACATGGTTTCTCTGGTTTTGTTTTTCATTGAATTAGCTTCATTCTTAAGCTCTCTTTCTTTACTCCTGGCTGCTGTGCTTGATGTACATTCTATCATCTTCATAGAAAAAAAAATTCGGGGGTTAGGGATTTAGCTCAGTGTAAGCAAGCACAAGACCCTGGGTTCAGTTCTCAGCTCCCCCCGCCCCCCCCAAAAAAAAAGAAAGAAAAGAAAAAGAAAAAAGCCAATGACCCCAAAACAGAAAAATGCACTGGCCCAGCCTTCACCCTGTGCCCATCACTTGTCCCTACCATTTCAGGCAGGGGAAATAGCTGTCCCCCTGGGTTGCCTCTCCACCTGGAGCTAAGGAAGGCTTGCTCTTGTCTGAAGCATGTAAAGAGCTAGAGAGTAAATATTTTAGCCTCCTGGGCCTAGACCCTGAGGCAACTGGTCACCCATCACAGCATGCGGCCACTATCACAGACAGAAGAGAAGGGAGGGTCGCGGTTATTAGGGAGCCAGGCAGCGAGTGTGACCCCAGCTCACAGACCCTTGGGGCAGATGCTTCACGTGTTGTAACCAGAGAAGAAGGAATGAACCTGGCCAAGGGAAACAGCACATGGATGCCACCCACCCCCCCAAGGGTTGGGGTCATGGAGGAGGAGCCTCAAGTTCAGCTTGTGCATGGCTTCGAGTGCCAGGTTCGAGATTTGGATGCTCTTCCTCACACAGCAGATGTCACCTCCTCCCAACCTTGCCATTTAGTCAGGTACAGGCTCCTACCCACCCACCCCCAGACACCCAGAGATTCCCCATACCTGTGGAACACTGTAACCATGTACCTATGTAACTATGTAGCCTCATCATAACACTGAGTTTGGAGATGGTTTTATTTGACATTGAATACTGGCCTTTTGTGCAAAAAAAAAAAAAAAAGATTATTTTTGGAGCAAGAAGTTCATTCTGTGTGCAGACAAAAACAGAGAAGTGGACTGGAATGTTCCTTCCAGGGCCAGCACACTCCAGAACTCCGAGCAGTACCATTCATGTTATGGCATTGTGGGCTGTACCATCTGGAGTTGGACAATCTGCAATGTAGACAGCTATACACGACCTTTCTGCTTCCCAGGATGAGCTGGGCTGCCTCAGACCCTGAGTAGCACCTCATTCGGTTTTGGCATCCGACACAATATAAAGCAGAACAGAAATCTGCAAGGGGGAAAGCGGGTTCAGTCATTCAGAAAGCAGATCTGCAGCTTGCATTTGCTCCAGATTTATTTACCAAGTGGGCAGTTGCATGTTATCAAACAGACAGGAAGTAGAAATGTCAAGTGCTCGGGCCTGTCTCCATACAGTGACGTGTGGTGGATGAGCCGGCCTCTGCGTGTTCTGTGTGAGTCTCTGGAGACACGGCACTCATTGTCGTGTGTATTAATGTCATACGGACAGGTGAAGATCTTGGTGACTGCACTGTCTATATGGCTCTGTTGGAGCAGTGCCAGAAGGGTCCTTATGGGAGAGTGAATAAAAGCCAAGTTGTTTGTGTTCAACAAGCCAATATGGACTACCTACTTTAGGTATGGCTCTTGTGGATTGCACAGGGGATGCTCAGCTGTGAAAGGGAGCATAGCTGGGATCCCCTGGGGTACCACAGTTCATCAAAAGGCAAATCAGCTCCCATCACAAGCTTGCATTTCCCAACAGTAAGGGAGGGAGTCCATAACAGCTGGCTGCAGGACTGCTCAGAGGGTGGCCTAAGATAGTGCATACAGGTACCGTAGGTGCCCCTCGCCACTCCCTGCCCCCTTTGATCAGTGAGTAGAGATCCCAGTGTTTGAGAATGACGTGATATCTCAGTGTTGCTGATCCCAGTTCATTCTGGGATGTAAACGACAAGCCCTGAAGATGAGCATGCAGCACTAAAGGGAAAGACAGCTGTAAGGTGGGGGCTGGGGAGGGGGATATGGGGGAGGTCTCAGGACAGGATTGTGGTCCCTGGAGGAAGGGCCACCGAAGCAGAAGCCTGAGTGGTTAAAAGAACAAAAAACTAGCCAAGGGAAGAGCCTGGAGGAGCATCTTAGGCAGAGGGAACAGGGAGGCCCAGGGTATCTGAGGGAACACAGAGGTGGGGCAGGCCCTGTGCTCCCAGACACCTGTGTTTTAGTGGCTCCAGAGGGTGGTGACGTTTAAGCTGACCACTGAAGGTGTGTGGGTCTCTTAGGAGGAGGTGGCTGTCACAGTAAAGCTTGGCAGCTGGGGAGCAGGGCCATAGGCAGGCAGGGGTCCAGGAGCCATGACCCTCCTATCCAGAGGCTGCTGCTCTGCATTCAGGGAGTCTTGCCCCAGTTTGGTCCTGTCCCTGTCCCCACGCTCCTGTCCCGCACATTTCATCTGCTGTCCATACACAGCCAGCAGGTATGCAGCCCCCCCTTTCCAGCCTGAGCCCCCCTTTCCAGCCTGTCTTGCCCTACCTGTTGCCTTTCATCACTCTGTGGTCAAGGCATCTCGCCCATCAGGTGCCCCCGAAGACCCTCTAGAATTCAAAGCTTGCGTTTTTTTGAGTCTCAAGACATGTTTGTTTCCTTGTAAGCTTAAATGTCAAGTTGAGGAGATGTGACCGGATGGCCCTAATCAGCCATTATGGCTCAGGGTGCACGATGCACAATACTCCCCCATGCACAGTATCACTAACACTAGATCTCTTCGCAGGCTCCCTGTTCTCCCTTTCCCTGCCCCAGCACTCATGCCCAGCTGGAGTACTGGCGAGACCTGGTTTCGTTCACTTGTTTGAGACAAGGTCTTTCTTGGTAGCCTGACCTCAAACCCAGGACTCTTCTACCTCGGTCTCCTGAGTGCTAGGGTTACAGGCACACACCATACCCAGCTTGGGGGGGGATCTTAAAGCCACCCCTATTGTAATGTCAGCTAAAACATGCCAAGTACCCAACTACGTCACTGCTGTATCATTTGATGCTTGTTAACTCATTCTGAGAGTTTAGCAGCCAAGGAAGGTGGGCTTTTGGTTGTTCCCATTTTATAGATGGGGAAATGGAGGGAGAGGGGAAGGGAGTCACCCAGAATCACCTCGCTAGGGCTCCAACTGAAAGTATCTGTCTGTCTATCCATCCGTCTACTTACCTACCTATTACCTATCATTTATCTATCATCTCTCATCTCCCTCACCATCTGTCCCTGAGCCTTGCCCATGCCTCCTCCAGTTTCTCAGCATTTCTCGTCTTCATTAGCATCATGTTGAGTCATTGCTGCTGCTAATTTGTAACTGCTTCTCCACCTCCAACTTCTGTTCTCAAGTCATTGATTCACGGGACCATTTTGTAGTCATCCACCTGCCACTCCACCCTTGAGTGACATTGTGATGGCGTATTTTTAAAGGATGTTAAGTCAGAAGATTTAATAAGGAGAGTATTGAAATAGACGGACACAAAGCCCCAAGAGTGACTCTCACAAGTTCAGATGCATCTAAACAACCACACAGTTCCTTCTGGACCCAAGATTGACAGGTCTCCTGCTTCAGTCCGCCATAGTGGCGCCCTCATGTGGCAACAGTGTGGGTTTGCATGCCCTCCGCCCAACTCTGAAGCTATTTTCTAAATCAGGGATGATATCTTTGAATTATTTCATAGTTTGTGAAAAAAGCCGAGACTCTACTTCCATCATTCTAAGTGATATAGTGTGCGTCAGTGGCTGCATCATTACCATGCATGTCCCAAGACAGGAGTCCCTGTGTTCACCCACTGAATGTTTGTTCAGGCTCTGGGAAAGGTGCGGGTAGTGGTTGAACTGTGGGAGAATGCAGAGAGCAGGTGGAGGCCCACATGAGACTCTGGTGGGGGGTTGTCTCAGCAGCCACTGAAATCCCTTCTCCTCCCCCCCAGAATGGCCAGCCGGAGCAATGACAAGGACGGTGACTCAGTCCACACAGCCAGTGATGTCCCATTGACCCCAAGGACCAACTCCCCTGATGGAAGACGCTCGTCCTCAGACACATCCAAGTCCACATACAGCCTGACTCGGAGAATCTCCAGTAAGTGCCTGGAGACAGTTGGGGTTGGCGGGGTGGGGGGTGGGCATTCTCTTAGTACCGTGGGAAAAAAACCTAGCTGAGCATGGTGGCTTGTGCCAGAAATCCCAGCACTCAGGAGTCTAAAACAAGAGAATCTAGGACAGCCTGGAGTAGAGTGAGTTCCAGGCCAGCCTGAGCTATAGAGTAAGATCCTGTCTCAAAACAAGAGCAGCGCTTGCACTTAGGGTCATGGAAGCAGGACAACAAAGGCAAGGGCTTGATGGGGGAGACCAAGGGGCTGTTGCACCTGTAGACCTCAGGTTTCCATCTGTTCGTAGGCTAACGGGGCTTCCACCCAGGCACGCTGGCCCCTGGGTCCACCCTCCCAGAGTCGGGCAGTGCTACGCCTCAGTTGGGGAGGGTACATTTTTCTCTTGCATCTTGAACTTGCAAGTTCAGGGCTCTAGAAGGTCCTCCCAGTCTATCCCTTCATCCGTAAGGTGGACTAATGTCTCATCTAATAATCCAGGGGACTATAAAAAGCAGGTGACTCAGAGCATGATGTCCATTCAGAGCACTACTTGGCACCGAGCTGCTCTGATCATAGTGATGGGATGCTCCTAGATACCACCTCTCACAATAAGTAAGAATAGAATTATCTTTCCATATGCACACATTCTGTACCCTTAGGTTCAACCAATCCCAGCACTTGGAACCCAAGGTAGAAGAATTGTGAATTCAAGGCCAGCCCAAGCTACAAAGTGAATTCCAGGCTATTGGGGGCTACTTAGCAAGACCCTGTCTCAAAGAGCCAAGAAAAAAAGATTAGGTGTGTGTGTCTATACTTAACACAGACTTTCTTTTCATGTCTTTATTTCCTAAACAATATGGTATATTAGCCAAGCTTGGTGGTACAGGCCTATAATCCTACTCAGGAGACTGAGGCAGGGGGATTATGAGTTCAAGGACAGTCTGTACAACTTGGTGATACCCTATCTCAAAATAAAAAATAAAGAGAGGCCCAGGCCTATGGCTCAGTGGTAGAGCCTTGCCTAGATGCATGAAGCCCTGGGCTGAATCCACCACACACCAGGAAAAGGAAGACTTGCCGTAGGAAGTTTCATTTTGCTGCATTTGTATTGTCCTCAGCATTTTAATCTGTTTGGAGATGGTGCAGGGGTATCCAGCCTTTGGGCATTGGGATTCAATGTTGTCTACAAGTGTATTGAGCTGCATTCACTGGGGTGCGTGTTGCCTGTAGGCTTCAGGTTGGACATGCATGAACATATATGGATGACCGTGCATAGGGTTGTATATTGTTCTCTTGTATTTATTTATTTTTGAATGTGTGTGTGTGTGTGTGTGTGTGTGTGTATGTGTGCGCACGCACGCACGCGCGTGTGTGAATGCACACACCATGGTGCATATGTGGAGGTCAGAGAACAACTTTTGGGAGCTGGTTCTCTCTCTCCACCATGTGAACTCAGGTCCCCAGGCTGGGTAGCAAGTTCCTTTCCCTATTGAAACATCTTGCACAGAAGAGCCCACTGAAGCAGAGAAGCCCACGTGGGCATCTGGGGATCTTTGCTGATGTCGGCGGATGGCTGGTGGTGATCTTTGTTCTTGGTGGTTGTTTAGGTCTGGATTCCCGGCGCCCCAGCTCCCCGCTCATTGACATCAAACCTATTGAGTTCGGGGTTCTCAGTGCCAAGAAGGAGCCCATCCAGCCGACGGTGCTGCGCCGGACCTACACCCCTGATGACTACTTCAGGAAGTTTGAGCCCCGGCTTTACTCCCTTGATCCAAACCTTGATGATGTGGACTCTCTGACTGATGAGGAGATCATGTCCAAGTACCAGCTGGGCATGCTGCACTTCAGCACACAGTATGACCTGCTGCACAACCACCTCACGGTGAGGGTGATCGAGGCCCGGGACCTGCCACCTCCCATCTCCCATGATGGCTCTCGCCAGGACATGGCCCACTCCAACCCCTACGTCAAGATCTGCCTCCTGCCTGACCAGAAGAACTCCAAGCAGACGGGAGTCAAGCGCAAGACCCAGAAGCCTGTGTTTGAGGAACGCTACACCTTCGAGATCCCCTTCCTAGAAGCCCAGAGGAGGACCCTGCTGCTCACTGTGGTGGATTTTGACAAATTCTCCCGCCACTGTGTGATTGGGAAAGTGGCGGTGCCTCTGTGCGAGGTGGACTTGGTGAAAGGTGGCCACTGGTGGAAGGCGCTGATCCCCAGTTCTCAGGTAAGGCTTGAGTTTTGCTGTGTCACCTCCTGGGAATTCTTCTTCTTTTAAGAGTCTTATTTTAATTATTTTACTATTTAATTTTTTACTTTTGAAGCTGGGTGTGGTGATATACATTCTTGCAATCCCAGCATTTGGGAGGTGCAATAAGGATCAGAAGTTCAGGGTCACCCTTGATTATATAATGAATTTGAGGATAACCTGGGCTACTTGAGATCTCATGTCAAAAAAGCCAAAGGGAAAAAAACTTACTTTGCATTTAAGTTGTTTTTATTTTGAAATAGTTATACTCACATGAAGTTTCAAAAGCAGCATAGAGTTCCAATTACTCTCTTTTTCATTGTCCCTAGGACAGTGTCTTATAGCATAGAGAATATAGGATATTCCACAAAATACCATGAACTAGAGTAGACCAAGTTCAGATTCCAGTGGTTTATATACATATCCCCCCACCATGTGTGTGCATGTGTGTGTTCATAGGCATGCATGTGTATGTATGCATGTACATGCATGTGTAAGTGTGTGTGTGTGTGTGTGTGTGTGTGTATGTGGACATGCGTATGTATGTGTGATTATGTGTATGTGGATGCATGGGCATGCATGGGTGAGTGTGTATGTGTGCATATATATTCATGTGTGAGTGTGTGTGTCTGTGTGTATGTATATATATGCATGGGCATACATGGGAGTGTGAATGTGGGTGTGTATGTGTGTGTGTGTGTGTGTGTGTGCATATGTAGTTCTATGAAATCTTTTCACTCTTTTATATATGTATGGGGATGTATGTGTGGAGTATGTAAGGTATATGAATGTGCATTTGTGTGTGGAGGCCAGGGGAGGGTGTCATGTGTCCTGCTCAATCACTCTGCACCTTATTTCTTTGAGTCAAGGGCTCTCACCAAACCTAGAATAGACTGGTAGCCAGCAAGTCCCAGTGATCCTCCTGTCTCTGTCCCCACAGCACAGGGGTTGTATACATATCCATGTACACATATCCATGTATGCATATGCATGTATGCATATGCATGTACACATATCCATGCCTGGGCTCTTTAGTGGGTTCTGGGATCCAAGCTCAGATCCCCATGCTTATGAAGCATGGACTCTGATGAGGCATCTCCAGCCCCAGTTCTGTAAAATCTTACCATGTTTACAGATTGATGGCACCACCACCCTGGAGCATTGCCCCCAATGCTGAACAGTTTAATCAGGAAAGTGGTTGTCCAGGGTATAAAGATATCAATCATTTTGACTTTCAGAAAGTGACTTGGAAGAAAAAACAAAGGTGGGGGCTGTGGAACCGATGACGCACGGATGTCTCTCAGGCAAACTGTGAGGTGATCGGCTTCCCTCCCCGGGCCGGCCTGAAGGGGGGTGTGATTAGCTGCTGGGGAAGCCATCCTAAGGCCACAGGCTGAGCTGTGACTCCAAGAGGCTGTTAAGTACTGAGTGCACCCTCTGTGGACAGAGAGAGCTGGGCAGGCCAGGGAAGGGGAAGGTACAGCCGGGAAGAGGAATACCTCGCACACTGCACAGGTGAGGATGGCCCAACCCAAGCAGGTACCGACAGGGGACAGGGCCATTGTAAACGAACATGCTGGGGGTGCATCTCAAAGCTGTGCAGCCTCGATCAAGAATCCAATGACCCAGGCTGCCTTCGGGGAGGTGGGTTGGTTGGTTTGTGGTGAGTTATGTGCTAGGGATTGAACCCAGAATGTTGTGCACGCTGAGTGTACTCTGTCCTGTTGAGCTATGTCACATCCCATCAGTATCCAGGTTTCCAGCATGGGGACAGGACTGTCCTGTCAGCTGTGTGTCTGTCTTCCTAGATGAAGGTCTACCCCCTTCTTCATATGAATTCCCCATGAAGAAGGCCCTGAGGCAAGGCTGGTCATATATCCAGGAAATGTCACCAACTGGGGACACCGGGAGGGATTTGGAAATTCGGGAAGGGTGTGTGATGGACAGGTCAACACAACAGGACGTTGTCTGGTTTTTAAACCTGCTAGAGACCTGGGAATTTGTGCAAGGCACACACAGGAGCCCAGTGTTGTTCATCCACAGAACTGTTGAGCGAAGGCTACTGGGAACTGGGAGCTTAATTCCCTGGCACTTTTGGCCTCTGGTCTTAGAAGCCAAGAGGCCTCTGTTACCCACAGTGGGAGGTAGCATCTGGACACAGGCCTTCATACTAAAACAGAGAGGACAAGGAGAGAGCGGGAAGACACGGAGACTGTTGTGACCTTGGCTTCACACCACAGACACTTCCTCTGGGCAGGCCTGCCCCCTGGCATCACCATCATGTTGGGTACCTCCTGTGCCTTCTGCAATGGCTGACGACACTCGGTGTTCAAAGGATCACACTCTCTCAGCCATTCAGAAGTTTCAGTTGGGGGACTGGGGATCGTTCCATCTTGCCAAACTCAAACTCCATTCTTTTCTTTTTTTTTTTTTCCAACTCCATTTTTTGTCAAAGTCCCTGGAGATGCAGAGAATCTCCATGACACCCACACACCTCACCTGCAGGTCTTGTTCACTGTTTCCATTCATGGTCCTCCTGGTCCGGTGGGTGCTGTAGCTCGCTTCCCTCCCACCTCCTCTTACTTCCCCCTCCCTCCTCGCCTCCCTCCCTCCGTTCTCTGTTACTTCTTCCTTCCCTCCACCTCCTTATGGCCTTTCTCCCGTGAAGTGAGCAGCCAAGGCCACCCTGCTGGGGTTTGAACCCAGATGCTGAAGGCTTTACTCCTCACCATTCTTCCTCAGCCTGCCCTTCTCACAGTCCCCCTGCTTCAGCCTTCCGAGTGCTAGGACTACAGGCGTGCATTGTCATGCCAGGCTAGAATGATCTTTAATTTGGGGGGTGGCTTGGGAGGTAGCTGGGCTAGTGACATGCTTGTTGTGCAAGTGTCAGGACCCACGTTTAGTGTCCATTTAAAAACCCGAGTTCAAGGCAAGTGTCTGTAATCCCAGTGCTTGGGGGGCAGGGACAGAAGGATCCTGGGAGCTCACCGGACAGCCAGTCTAGCTGGATTGGTGAGTTCTGGGTTCAGTGAGACCTGGCCTCAAAAAATAAGGTGGAGAGTTATTGAGGAAAATGCTGGATATTGACATTTTACCCCTACATTTGCACACAATGCATACACGCACACACAGAGGAACACATACACACATACCACAACACACACACACACACACAGAGGAACACATACACACATACCACTCCAACACACACACACACACACACACACACACACACACACACACACACACACGACTGTTTGAGGCTCACAGGAAAATCAATAGGGAGATTTATAGGTTTCCCATCACTCCCCTTCACCCCTACCCACGCACAGTCTCCCTATTCCCAGCATCACTCACCACAGCAGTATGTTTGGTACCAGAGACAAACCCACGTTAACACATCATTATTGCAGTTTGGGGTACACTGTTAACTCGTACATCCTATAGCTCTGGGCAAATGTCTGGTGACATATGTCCACTGCGATAGCAGCAGATAGAGTGGTGTCACCAGGGCTTGTTTTCAAGGCAAAAATAATTTGAGATGCTCAGCGTTCTGTGCTGATTGGACCCAGTACCTGGAAACTGCCTGGAGTTACGGACGCCCCCAGCCTGCCTTCTGGACTGCTAAAAACAGCCTGGTAAACAGAGACTCCTAACTGCCTTCTGTATTTTGAGATTCCTCACCAACTGCTACTGTCACCATCCAGCCCTCAACCAGGCAAATGGCAATGTTTTAAACTTGCCCTGAGCTGCTGTCAGCCTTGACCTTTAGAAAGCTGGCCTCTGTGTGTGTGCTAAAACTGCTTCCGGCTCGGTTTCTAATAGGCAGCCACATAATGCTTCTGGGGACCAGATCAGAATCCGGCCGAGCAACAGGAACTAGAAGTTTCCGTGTGCGTGGGCCTTCTTGTGCCCCTCCTCCCTCGGTAAAAATCAATTCCACACGTGAGAGCTTATTAGAATTTTTAACTACATTCTTTATTTACTTAGTGTGTATACACTATGGAGCGCTTGTGGAGTTTCAGAGGATGACTTGTGGGGACTGTGTGGGACCCAGGATCAAACCGAAGTCGTCAGGCTCTGTAGCAAGCACCTTTACCTACTGCCCCAGTTCACTTTCTTTCGCTGGGACAAACTCCATGACCAAAACCTACTTGGGCCGGAAAGGGTTTATTTGACTTACATGTGGGTCACAGACCATTGAGAGAGGCCAAGGCAGGAAGCTAGAGTCAGGGACTGAAGCAGGAGCCATGGAGGAGTGCTGCTTACTATGGCTTGCTCAGCCTGCTTTCTTATACAACTTAGGACCACCCGCCCAGGAGTAGCACCATCCACAGTGGGCTGGGCCCTCCTCTCCCAATTAACAATCAAGAAGATGCCCCACAGACTTGCCTTCAGACAATCCGATGAAGACATTTTCTCAATCGAGTTCTTCAATGAGTTACTCTTGACACAGCTCTAACTTGTGTCAAGTTGATAAAAACCCAAGCAGGACACCTGCTGAGCCATCTCACTGGCCCCAACAGGAGCTTGTGTTCCCTAGTTATAGCATGAACTAAAGGAGGATCCAGAACGATGCGGGGGGAACCTCCCTGTTGCATAAATGAGAAGACTGTGACAGGAAGGTTGAGTGACTGTCTAAGGTCACCCAGATTTTCACGGTAGAACTGGGACTAGAGCTAGGTTGCCTGACTTCCAAGCAGGTCTTGCTACTGTGCCAACCATCTTTACTCCCCCAGATCATATGGTCCAGTGGTGGGTAAGAGTATGGGCCCTGCACTCACACAGGCCTGGGTTCAAGTTCGAGCTCTGCCACCTACTAGAGGTATGTGCTCAGGAAGGTCATACTTCGTCACCCAGCCTCAGTTTCCTGTCTGTCTCAGGAGGCTTGCACAGTGTGAAGATCCGACTTCCCAGAACCTCGATTTCAGTCTCCCAGGAGCATTCCCTGTGAGCTGTCTGACTCACAACGCTGACAC